TATTATAGTTCTTATTGTATTCAATAATAGTAAATATTCCACTAATATTATCAATGTTATTTATTTATTTAACAGTTGGGAGAGACAAGCCATATCCACAATTAGGATTATTGGGTGTATATCTGAAATTATATACAATTAATACAATTGAACATTGGGAAGCATTAAAATTAAACGTTCGATGTCAAATTTTGCATATAGTAATTAGAAATAGTAGCTTGAAATATGTACAGTCAACACTTTCTCCTTGAAATATACAGCCTGTAGAATCTATTAAAATTGATGTATTGGTCTTTATTGTAACCAACTTGTTTTGTATTAGTCAGGTAAAGTTGGTTTTCTTCCCTTAGATCAGAAGTTAACGGACAGTTTATCAGAAGGTGTTCAGAGTTTGTCTTTCGTTTCCTCAAGTGCATGCAGGTGAACCAATTTTACCAATTCTAAACAAATATGTGTTGAAGTCACCATGTCCAGTAAAAATTTGAACGTTATAGAAGTTGGGTTGAACATAGTTAGGAATTATTGAAATAATGTTTATAATGTAAGAGAGCGGGTTGTGTTAGACGAAAGGTCTAAACTCTTGGTCTTCGACCGCTACGACCCGGGATCGATTCCCGCATTGGGCTCTTTTTTTCTTAATAAGAAAGATTTTCAATGGCTCCCGATTTTTTCTAAATTTCTACCCCTCCAATGAATGCAAGTAACCAAACGGGGTTCTGAAAGATTTGTAAGTGCAAAATTCGAATTGTTTTTCACATGTGTAGATATGTGGTGCACTTATAGTAAAAGCAGTCGCGAATTTCTACCCACCAGATTATAATGACCTGTATTACGTGTACTAGGGATAAAAAAAGTGCAAGAGAATTACTAAATAAAGTCTATATTGTATAAAAAAAGAGTACAAATGTGATATTGTACTGGGATAAAATGCATAATTATGAAAAAAGGCATCTCCTTATCCCAGTATAATATCACATTTGTACTATTTTTTCACATTGTTTCGCGGTCTCACGCAATTCTGTCCTTAACTACCCGTTTCATGATTTTTCAGGATGCCTTGAATGACCAGTTTTTTTTGTCGTTGAGGTACAGCTTGCACCACGCTGATGAGGGCCAACAGCCCGAAACGCGTCCGTGGTTAGCTTTTCTTGATTAATCAAGAATGGGTATTTGGCCAATTCTGGAATAATTAAAAATCAACGAGAGTAGTTGATATTTCTAATGTACAGAGAAATGTGTAAATACCTTATTACAAGTTTCCACCTCCTAAGAAAGGAAAAAAGAATCCTTACCTGACGCCTTTAAGTAGCAGTAGATGTACAACACCCTAGAACAGCTAAGCCAGGAAAGGGCAAAGTAGAAATGAGAAAAAGCTACAACTTCTTCCTGTAATGAAGGTGGACCCTCATTTGAATTTGTGGAATTGGAAATACATTCTAAAGAAAGATGAACCTAAATACAATAAGATGAATAGCTGGATATCCTTGATAAGAAGATATAAAATCTAACGGCGATACGAATTTCTTTATTGGAAATATATAAGTCTGGCGAGCTTTTGGACAAAAACATCCTTTATATGAAAGGATTTAAAAGCAGGAATGTTTCTTTTATACATAATACAAACTTCTACTGCCCTTACTGCAATGAAAAAATATATTGGGAGGGCTTGGCTCATCAGTAATGAACCCTCTCAGCGGTTTCGCCAATTTAATCCACCAGACCACTTCTCAGAGCTCTAAATTGACGATACCGCTGGGAGGGTTCACCACTGATGAGTCAAGCCCTCCCAATATATTTTTTCACGGCAGTAAGGGCAGTAGAAGTTTGTATTATGTATATAATAAACATTCGTGCTTTTAAATCCTTTCATATTATATCTATAGATGGCGCGTTATTGCTTTGTGTTAAAAACCTCCTTTATAAGGCTGTAATACGAATAGAAGCTTGTTGAAGAACATTATTGACCGAAAGTTCTCGCTGAGCTTATTTCAATTTAATAAAGAAATGCGTTGCTCCGTTAACTTTAATTTCTTCTTAGCATGGATTAACCTATTATTAGGTCATTGACATATGAATAAGAAAGACAAATGACAATCATAACATCTGTTCAACCATGGAAATCCTTAATGAAAGGATCAACTGTAACAAGTAGTCTTACCAGCAGACGATATGTATTGCTTGATTGATTAGAAGAAATATAATTGGTTAGCCTCATCATTCTAATCACTGATTAAACTGAAATTAAAATATACAGCGTAATAAAACGACCGAAATTTCAATATAGGAAAGTAATATATTTGCGCCCATGAATTTATTTCTGATTCTATATTCTATATTAATCCTTTTCTCAATCAAATTATATTCTTTGACGTACATGTACCCCATAAGTAGGTTCATCAACCTAATCACTTAATAAACTCAAATTAAATATACATTGTAATAAAAAGACTGATTTTTCAAAAGAGGAAAGTAATATATTTGCAACCATGAATTTATTTCTGATTCCATATTCTATATTAATCCCTCTCTCTTTAATATTATATTCTTTGATGTACATGTATACCCCATAATGAAGAAATAATCGAAAAATTAAATTAAAATATTTAGATAAATTGAATTAAGTTCATTTCTTTTGATCTTAACTAATTCGGGAATATGTAATTAAGAGTGTATTGGTTTCTTAGCAATCTTTTAATATATCTTTATATTTTATCATCAGACTCTCAAGCAATGGATCAACATCTTGTAGAAGCCTGATTGAACAGATACACCAGTTTTTGTAATGCTTCATTTGAAAGAAATCAATATAGAAAGATATCAATATTGTGGGTTGATTTAATGTTTCATTATACCATGGCATTTTTCTATTACAGTAATCCCTCTCTATAACGAATTCCTAATTGGAGTGGCAGAATGTCCTTTAGGTAGAGGTGTCTTCTTTTTGGAAAGCTACTAAATGGCTAAAATGGTAATTTTGGTGATTAAAACTGTAGTCAGAGTTGCCCTCTCATGGAGAGTCTACTGTATCTGATAAAGTTAACTTATTAGACTTTTGTAATTCATAAATTGTATGTTCAGAAAAGTAAAATCTTCTGTAATAAATATAAATTATAGGTAAAAACTCTCTCGAAAGTCGTTTTACTTATTATTTATAATTTGTCTATAAGAAATCGTTTTAAAATATATATAAGAGCTATTTTTAACGCAATTTATTCTAAATGTTTATAAACTTTTTAAATGAAAAAGAGGGAATATAATATTTGCCTATCTTGTGTTGAAATTTTCATAAATTATTTTTTTTTCAAAATATATATATTTTTTGCGTTTGAGAAGTTATAATAAAGCCTTATTTAAAATTATAAGTAAAATCTTTCTTAATGATAAATGGTATCTATTACACATACATAAAGATCTTGAAGCTACGATGCCCTTCTTCAAATCCATCAGTCATCGTAATGAGATATATATAAAAATGTATAAAACAAATTTATTAAAATATATTAAATTATGCCTGTGGGGTAGCTTTTATTTTAAATTCAATCATAAAATAAGTGAATTATATTCACCAAAAAGATTATGAAAATGATCTTTTGACATAAGACTCAATATATTAATTAATTTGATTGTTATATTTGATATTTTCCTCTATAAATGTGAAGCTATATTTGATTTTTAAAATACAATAAAATATATTTTATATAGCGTATCTATTTAAGAAATAATTTTTAAATTGAAAATATATTTTATTTATTTTTAAATTAGTATATTGTATCAAATATATTATTATAATTTATTAGAAAATAAAAATACGTTTTACTTCATATAGGTCTAAATATCACGAATTTTACAGAAATAAATTTTTATGAAAAACGATTTATACACTTTTCTTATTTCTATTTTATTTTATTTAACGATGTCTTCATCTGAGTGAATTTTTATCATTTTAATATATTGATTCTCTCAAAAGGTTATTTAAAAAACTATTAACTCATACAAAAATATATTTTAATATAAAAATATTACAATATAGATTTTTATTTATATATATTTATATAATTACTAAATAATTCTAACTAAATTTAAAATTTTCAAAATGAAATAAAGAAATACATATTATCCTAATATCTTTATTAATTATTGCCTATATATAAATTCTTTAAGATTATTTTACCAATAAGTATTTAAAAGATAAACTAATTTATTAGAATAAATTCAAAATTTAATTTAATATGAAAATATAAGGAACCTATTATATATTCATACAATAATAATATTAAAAAGTATAAAATAAAATAATAATTAATATGCTTATATAGTAAATTAATTATAATAAATATAAATAATATTGTAATATAGTTATAATAATATAATTTATAATAAAATATTTATTAATATTACAATTAAGAACTTTACGTTTAAAATATAACCATATTTATTTTTATTTTAAAATTAACTATTTTATATATTTATATTTATTAATATATTAGGGAAAAATAATGTCAAATATATTTAATATCATTCAATTATTTTATGGACTCACGAATAAAAAATGTAGTGCAGACAAAAATCATATGAATAAAATAAAAATATGAAAACGTTAACATGCTACTTAAATATATGAATTGAATATTGGTTATTACTTTAGAAAGATTCCATCAAGAAATAATACCTTTATAATATTGAGATAAAATTAATGTGCAAAAATTAAGCTGATAAATTATTATTATTAATACCAAGTGCATATGCTAAACAAACATTCGATATTTCATGCTAAAGTAAACGCGCGCAAGCAAGCATTGGTTTTCAAGTTTGATATAAAAACATTCAAAAACTAGGCTTTTTAACATTGAAAACGAACTATGCATGCAACCACGAATACATTAAAATGCATATATATACCCAAATTTGTTCCGAAAATATCTTCCTGAGGCAAAATGTCTTCAATTTTCGGATCTTTTCTTCTGCCAGGATTTTCTTCCTTCTTGAAACGGTGAAATTGGGGTAGAAGTGATTCGTACCGACTCAAAGTAGATTTAAATATATCTATCTATGAGCTGGTACAAATAACCTCCACTCCAAAATACTTGTTTTTCTGATCATCTTTATCTGTAGCAGTACACAAAACAAGGATGCAATAGTGCAAAAATATCAGCTATACAGGCATTAAAATGGTGAGTGAAAATAATATTTAGAATAAATATATGTGTATCAACAATGTGCTCAACTAACAGGCAAATTTATTAAATTTTAGGAAATTTGCATTCATTGATTTTTATAAAAATCGTCTGCAATGAAAATTTGCTAGGTCATGTAATTTAAAATTGAAATAACGTTGATTTAATCAATGGATTGATAATATTAAATTTGCAATAGAAGCAAATTCAAGTCGATTTTTTAAAAAATAAATTTTAAAAACAAAATCTCTGAAATAAAATATTTTAGGTATGAAATATTCAATTCTTCTATTTTTTTCCCTTCAAGTCAAATATAAAAAAATGGAAATGACGATTACATATGGTGTGCCATTTTTTATTTATAAAATAACTTTTCCATTAATATTCATAATTAAGACTATCATTAATATATCTTATTTTTTAAATTTTAATATTTAAAATTTTGAAATAATAGATTTATATTTATTTTTCTTTGTATGTTCTATTATTTTGTTTAACTTAACTATATATAATAGAATATATATAATGAAAATTAAAGAAATAAATACCATATTTTTATTTAGAAATATATACTCTTCAACGTTTTTTATATTTTTATAATTCATTTTTTAAATAATAGTATAAATAATATATTAATATATTATATAAACATACTTATAAAGGGCGATATTTACATGTAATATATTTAAATATACTTACCACAACATAAATATATCTATTGTAGCAATTAAAAAATAAACTAATTTAAATTTTTAGGAACATATTCTTTTAATGAAATAAATTGTTATTTGATCATTTTTATTTTCTAGTATTGTTCATAATGATTATATAAAATTATGCCGCAAAATATAATAACCTTCAAATTATTCTCTCAAAATAAAAATTATTTTAATGAGATAAAATAGCTTCTTATATATTTATTTTAAAATGAAAAACGAAATATTTTCTTGAAATTTAGGTTATACGAAAAATTTCGGTTATACTAAGAATTTTACTTTAATATTAAAAAATCAAATGAATAATATGGAGACTTGATTAAATATCATTTTTTAGGAAAAAAAAAACCTTTTTATTTGATGGATAAAAATAACCTTCTGGAAAATCTTGTAATATATAAAAATTGTATTATATTCCCTCTTTCTTCGTATGAAAGAAATAAACCCCATCTTAGAATGATTGAAAGCATGATTGAAAGCAATGATTGAAAATGGTCAATATCTTTGTTATCAGCTTTTAGAAGATCAACTATCGCTTGAAAGATTATATTTTAAATTCTCTTTTTCTTCACCTGTTACTTGTTCCTAGTCACTTCCTTTCCCTTGTACCTAGTTATTTCCTCATCCATTCCCTTGTTCCTATTCATTTTTTCTCGCAAAATTATTTAAATTAATCGAACATGAGTTTCTCTTATAAAAAACTCCTTGTTTGACAAAATATCTTTTCTTATTTGAAATGCAAGCTTTTTAGAAGATCAACACTTCTAAAGATTACATTTCAAATCTGGATATTAATCAAACAATGCCAAAGGTTTCTGGATATGAGTTGCTTTTATAAGAAACTATCCGAATGACCCGAGCAACGCCCGGGTTTTACCCGATTAAATGTTTTTATTCAAATACTATTCGTTACAATTATAAATTGGCGCCCTGGATGTCACTCTTGTGAAACATCCTGCTCCAAACTTTACATGTACATTAGGTCAGCTGATATTACCTCCCATCTTCACCACTAGAGGAGCTACTCGCGAGCGAAAGGGCAAATTTGCAACGCAACTTTGCAAATAACTCTACGGATATTTGGAATAGAGACCTGAAATTTTCGTTATATGTTTTTCCAGATTCTACTCTATATACTGTTAAAATTTTAGTATGATTAGTTATGTATTGTGGACGTGTATAGAGGACAAGCATACACACATACATACATACACTGACTTTTATAAATATATAGGGATTATTTTAAAATGACATTTGAAATACTATCCCGCATGTGTTTCTTTTCAAAGAAAAATCAAAATTTATTTCAAGGAGAAACAACGATTATTTCCAACCTTTTGGATGAGGTATGAAAGGGTGAATTGTGAAGAGTAATAATAAACGGAAAAATAAAAGTGTCCAGGGATGGGAATTATCATTACTCTTCACAATTCACCCTTTCATACCTAATCCAAAAGGTTAGAAATAATCGTTGTTTCTCCTTGAAATAAATTTTAATTTTTCGTTGAAAAGAAACACATGCGGGATAGTATTTCAAATGTCGTTTTAAAATCACAAGCCGCATTGTATATTGTATAGGGATTATTGTTTGGAAAAATAAGTATCATTTTAAATAAAGAATAAATACTTACTGTGATATTTGAAATATATTTTATAATTTTGTCTATTTCTAAGAACAATGGTTAGATAACAACTCTATCTTAATAAACATAGAACCATTACTATAAATGACAATAGATAATAAGTTGCAAAACTGTCATCAAAACAGACGAAAATCTTCTAATGTTGTTTACGTCCAGATGAGTCTTGTCATAAGAGGAGCTAAAGAGGTAATATAAGTAAATTACAAGTAATTCCCAGTGAAGCTTCTTGGTGATTAGAGTAATTATCTTGATTGGATTTGTTGTCCTAATGTAATTCTAACCTCTTTCATCTTCAGATATCTCCTTAACTCAGCAATTAGATGCTGAAATTCTTGAATTCTTGTTTTATTGTGTACAATTCATGTAAAATTAAATTTCTACATTTATGTTTCTTATTTACATATTTTCTATAGATTTGATTCAATTTAAGTTATGAATAATAAAATATAAATATACTTTCATATTCAAAATTTTTCAAGAATTCCTAACTATGCCCAACCCAACTTATATAACGTCAATTTTTCACTGGACATGGTAACTTCAACACATATTTGTTTAGAATTAGTAAAATTGGTTCACCTGCGTGCACTTGTGGAAATGAAGAACAAAACCCTGAACACCTTCTGATAGACTGTCCATTAACTTCTGATCTAAGGGAAGAAAACCAACTTTACCTGACAAATACAAAACAAGTTGTTTACAATAAAGACCAATACATTAAGTTTTATAGATTCTGCAGGCTGTATATTTTAAGGCGAAAGTGTTGACTGTACATATTTCAAGCTACTATTTATAATTACTATATGCAAAATTTGACATCGAATGTGTAATTTGCGTGCTTCCCAGTGATAATTTCACGATGATTTGATTTGTTTGTATATAATTTCATATTTACACGCAATTATCCTAATTGTGGATATGGTGTGTCTTTGTAACTGTTAAATAAATAAATATTTAAAAATTTGAATTTGTTTTGTATAGTAACATTTTTTCAAATAGTCATTTTGTTGATTATTGATTTATTTATCTTGTTTTGTCTTAGTTTATGATGGGTTCGACTTGTTTTGCTCTTAAAGAAATTCCTAGAATATTTATTGAAGACAAACGAGATAACCAAGTGTGAACAAATTTGCAATTATTTCCTTCAAAAAAAAAAAAAAAAAAACAGGAGTTGGCGAAATAAAAGACTTTCCATTTTCATAAGTTTTGTCCATGAGTATATTTTTGTTTGTTAGATATTTGTTAAAATGAAAGAATTGGTTCCTAAACTGTAAATATTTATATACTTTTAACAAAAAATATGTCATATATATAATAGAAAATATTAACATATAAAATATTCTGATTTTTAACACACAGATAACCCTAGGTTTTAATTAAAATAATAAAAAATATATTTTCACACACACACACACACACACACACAAATAAGGAAACAAATTAATCTCAGAATTATAAAGCCCATATAAAAATAATAATAAATAAACATTAAAATTGAATATTATATACTTATTAGAAAATATATTTATAATAATAAAAAATAGAATAAATAACAAAAATAAAATATATATTTATATATAACACGGTACACACACAAATAAACTTTTTCCTTACTTCACAGAACAATTTTATATAATCCCATATAAATAACATATAGATGCACATATATTTAGAGATCAATAAATATAGGCACATTTTAAAATCTAAGATTTTCCAAAATAAGAATTTACTATTTTAAGAGCTTAGGTGAAACTTCTTCAAAATTTAATTTAGCGCTTGAAATTCCAAATTGATATCTTTGGAGGTCAATCTAGGAATAAACTATCAGCCGACTGTTTTCTTCCTTTTCTCTAACGACGCCATATTGGATTTAGGTTGACAGCTTAAAGTAAATATTTCTCCGAATATTTTGACATTTGAAAATTTTATCATCATGATTAATTTCAACCATATATTTCTTTTATCAATGAATTATACAGATGTCAGAAGCCGTTTCTATTAATAACGTATTTATTTACGCCAAAAGATATTATAATAGTTGAAGAATAAAATTTAAAAAATGTTTCAAAATATATTTTTCTGTTTGAATACAAAATTATTACTTTTCCAGTCAGAAGCTTTCAATAAATAACAGTCAAATTAATATAATATCTAAAATATTATTTATAATAAGTAAAAAATAATAATCTTCAAATAAAACAAAATATAAAACATAAATAAAACACTATATATGCGAAAATATAAATATATATTCTTTATTAAATTAATGGAAGCTTAACTAAGAAAGCAAAATTCATTTGCCAAAGTGGGAGAGAATTCGTCTTTTATTCCAAAAGAAAATGGCGGATCACAAAATCCGTCTTTTGTTAAAGGAGATTGAAGAAGGAACAATATTAAATCTAGCAGACGAACCAACGCTGGTGTCGTTTGATGAAAACATTCAATAAGACGACTTAATTAGCACTTAATTTAAATTTCTTCCAGGTAGTATGCAAAGTGTGTAAATTGGTCCAATTGGATTGTAGGGAAGTGGGGCCAAA